CACGTGCCTTTCTTTCAACTGCTGTTTTTAGGACATGATTAAATGATTCTCATTAAATGATTCCCATTTTTTTTTGTGACCTCTTAAGTCATTGAATTTTTTCCCAGAAGCTGTACTATTAACGGTTCCCCAGATATGACCGAAAGCCTTTCTTAATGGGCCACCCCGTAAAACATAATTTTCGAACAATCTAATTATGTCCTAAAATCAACCGTTTGTCAGAAAAACACGTGTATAAATAGAAAATTTTACATAATATTCAATATTAGAGAAATTGCCTATAGACTTTACTTTCATATATCGAAAACACTGCAGTTTAGTACTCTTACGAGGGGAAACACCTAGCGCTTGGTGTTGCTAATTCCACTCTGAAACGGTGGTTATCACCTTTAAGGAGCCAGGTGTCTTAGTGTTTTGGTTATAAAAAACCGTCTATAAGCCATTTCTTTAATCTTGAATATTATGTAAATTTTCCTATTTTTACACGTGCCTTTCTGTCAACTGCTGTTTTTAGGACATAATTAGGTTGTTCGAAAATTATGTTGTACCTGGTTGCCCAATGAGAATGGATTTCGACTATATCTGGGGAACCATGTAAATAGTACAGTTTCTGAAAAAATAGTTCAATGACTAGAGTGGTCACAAGAAAAACAGAAATTATTTAGCGAATAGTAGGACGACCGCTAGATGGGGTAAATTTATCAAGTTATAAGGTCTCCTAAAAATGTGATGCATAATTTCTTTCTTATCTTGTCATATTAGGGGTGGGAGAAGTCTTTAACTGTAATTTTTCGTTTCCTATATTTTTACTGACTTTCTTCATTTACTTCTTGTTCTTCTATTTTATTTGATAACCTGTCTAAATCCTTGGATTTCTTCCTTTATGTTGTTTATCTTGTTACCCATTGCGTCCTCATTTTGTTTGATCTGTTCTCCTATTTTGTTTTCAAACCATCCATGTTCTTCATTAATTCTTCCTTATTTTCTTTCTTTCCTATTTTTATCCAATTTTTTACTATTTTTATCCAATTTTTTACTATTTTCATCCAATTTATTACTATATTTATCTAAAACAAGGGTAATAATTTTACTAGATCATCCAACTGTGAAACCAGGCATTTTTTCTTGCTGCCATTCTTAAACTTCAAATAGATATTTTACTTTTCTATTTAATAATTTATCAGAATTTTGTTAGTTGTCTTGTATTTTTTTTTCGTAGGTGTCGGAATAGCGATTTGCTAAGAGCAGTTTTCATTGCGAATTGCTAATTTAGATGGTTCTCTTCAAGTGACGAAGTTGTGATAGCGGCTGATGAGTAGAATTTGCCGAAAGGTAAGACTTGGGTTTGTGAATTTCTTCCTGAAGAACAAGGTCAAACAACGGTTGGTCAACTAAAGAAATAAGTTCCAGATATGTTATAAGCTTAGATAAAAGAGACCAGAGATATAACATACACCGGTTTTAAACCTGCGCAAATGTTGCCAATTTCTAAAGAAGGGTTAACGGAGTGGGGGAACTGGGCGGCGACACGCGGCGACTCGAACTCTGTGACAGGGACCGGACTTTGTTTATTAGCAACTTAATGAACTATTAGGTTTATTTAAAAGGTGTTTAATCGAATTTTGTATTATGAAATCAAATTATCGTGATTTTTTAATATCAAACAGATGCCACGACATTTTATGTAAAGAGAAGACCTTTTATAGAATATTTCGTTAGCGTTTATTTACTACGGACTTTTCTGCAAGAGATTACAGTAAAATGTTGAAATAGAATATATTGTTAATAGAGCAAAAAATGTTAGTCATTGTCTACGAGTATTATAAAAATAGCATGTGCGCAGGCTAATACTGCAAATCTACCCTTATGAGTTGAACATTATATTTTTTCTACGGCTATTACATATTATTAAAAATTAGTCAAAATGAGAAAATGCTGTTTTGTATTGTAACCTTAGAAAAAGTATATTAAGGCTTCTTTCTTTAAGAATATTATTTATTATAAAGGATGAGTCATATAAAACTCTAGAAATGCATATGTCTGAAACCAGATAACATTTTAAAATTTAAATCTATTAAAAGTCATTTGGTCGCTAGGGATGAGTGATTATCGAAATAAATTATCGATAATTGAAAATAATCGATTATTTTCGATCAATAGATTATTTTCAAACAATATATTTTTTGTAATTTCCTTTAAAATCGACTACTTGATTATCTTTGAAAAATCAAAAATAATCGATTAATTAAAAAGCCAATTAACCGATAAATCAGTGTTGACAAAATATAATATAAATAGAATTATCGTTTATTTTAAATAATCGATTATTTTCAAATAAACCATTTTTTTTTCGTCCATGGAAACAGATTATTCGATAATCTTTGAAAAATCGAAAATAATCGATTAATCAAAAATAATCAATTAATTAAAAAGTCGATTAACTGATAAATCGATTTAAAAAAAAAACAGAATGATCGATTATTTTAAATAATTGATTATTTTCGATCAATCGATTATTATCAATAATCTATTTTTATTGTATTTCCTTTAAAATCGTTAATTCGATTATCTTTGAAATAGCGAAAATAATCGATAATTCCAAAATAATCGCCTAATCGAAAATAATCAATTAATTAAGAAGCCGATTCTATGATAAATCGATTATTACCAATAATCTATTTTATTGTATTTCAAAAATATTCGATTAATTAAAAAGTCGATTAACTGACAAATCGATTTTCAAAAAAAAACAGAATGATCGATTATTTTAAATAATCGATTATTTTCGATCAATCGATTATTATCAATAATCTATTTTTATTGTATTTCCTTTAAAATCGATAATTCGGTTATCTTTGAAATACCAAAAATAATCAATAATTCCAAAATAATCGCCTAATCGAAAATAACCAATTAATTAAGAAGCCGATTCTATGATAAATCGATTTTCCAAAAAATAAAACGAATTATCTATTATTTTCTAATAATCCTTTTTTCATATTTCCTTTGAAATTGATTATTCGATTATCGAAAATAATTGATTATTAAAAAGCTGATTATCCAATAAATCGATAATTTTAAAAAAATAACCAAAATATCGATTATGTAAAATAACCGATTATATTCAATCGATTATTTTCATATAATATCTTTGAAAAATCGAAAATAATCAAATAATTAAAAAACCGATTAAACGATAAATCGATAATTTTGAATAAATGTACTTTTTCTGTATTTCCTTTAAAATCGATTAATACATTATCTTAAAAAAAACGAAAATAATTTATTAAAAACAGCGGATAAATCGATTTTCATTAAAAAATATCAGAATTATCGATAAATCGATTATTTTTGTAACCCCTATCGGTCGCTTGCTTTTATCTGAGCATTTAGCTCCAAAATTTAGAGATTCGGATTTTTTGATCCAGTTATCTTTGAAATCGCATTCGCTTGTATAATAAATAAATATTGCTAAATTTTGGATTTTTTTTAGTAAACGAAAATTATGTTCGAGTTGTTTAGGGGTTTGTAATGTAACATTTTATTAACGTGACTAAGGGTTGATTCCACCGTTGTGTTAAACGAAGTTTAAAATGACATTTTTACATTAACACTGTCATTTTAATCTCCGTTTAACACAACGGTGGAATCGGACCTAACTCCTGTAACTTTAGTATTTTTTTTTTGTTTATACTAGATTACTTTGTTTTAAGACTGAAAATTCAATGTCACTTTCGATTTGACCGCAAATAAGATGAACCTTGAAATTTTAAGTAGGTCATCCTGTACTTCATCTAATATTCTTATAAAAATACCTTATAAAAATAAAATTTAGCTAGCAACTATGATTCTTTACCTCTTATTTATCTACCAAAAAGGGCTAAAAACTACCTTTAGAAAACATTCTTATAAAACTACTTTTTAAATACAAAATTTCGTTAGCAATAATGCCTATTTACTATTTATTTAAATTAAATGTTCAAAATTTTACCCTTTTGTAAATTTATGTAAGTAATATGAAATCTGATGCTTAATATTTATTGAAACCCCTCAATGCGGATCTGAAGTATTCAGCCCAGAGAATCATGGCGCTTTATGTCAAAACGTTAATAAATATTTACCGCTGAAAACGAATATATTCATAACAGTAGTACTTGTATTATAAGTACATACAATTTTTCAAGATACATCGTGACATTTTGAACTTGAAATTGAATAACTAGAACACTTTAAATTGCTAAAATACCAACAAATAAATCAAAAAACAGCTGTCAATGGTGATTAAACTCAGGTGGAGGTGTGATCGCTGAATGGAAATCGGAGCAATTCGGGTGGCGTCGTGCAACAATGATTTTCAATTGGTGGGTTACTTTGGCTTAAAATAGACTGCATGCGCAGTGTGCAATGTTACATCTTCGGTCTCTTTAATCTAAGGTTATAAGTCAACAACAGGAAGTGAACAAACCTTTGTTGAAATTTATGCATACACGCCCAAATTCTGTATCTGTCCCCCCTTAGCTGCGGTGGTCTCATCGACCAGACAACGTCGCAGTAAAGAGAGAACATCAAATTTTAATCTATCTTTTAGTGAACAGATTAAATTTTAGGCATAATCGAAACATCGGGGGGGGGGGGATACTATATAAGGGGTTGTTTCTTTTACTTTATAAAATATATCTATTATTTACGCTTGTAGAAGAAAATTGTTCAAATAAAAATTGCTTGTAATGTTATTCTCTATAATTTTTGTTTAATACATAATTTTTCTAAAATTGTTTTTAAAGCATGTAAAATGTAAAAAGAAAAATACTTTATTGACGAATTAATTCTATTCCATCCTTCTGATATCCCTTTATACGAGTATTTGTCGAAACAAAGTATTTATTTATCGACTGAGCTTTTTTGTATTATATATTATCAATAAACATTTTTATTATTTGTGTAAATATTTTTTGGAATTAAAAAAAATAAGGCTTAACACCAAAGAAAAAAAAATCGTTTTGTAAAAACCGTTCTTTTATTTTACAATACTTACAAACAATAAAAACAAAAAACAAAGAGCCTTCGCCCTTCTACGTCAACAATTTGATTTTGGTTTTCAAAATAAGTTGCATCTCCTTATTGGAAATTGTATAACTATGTAAAATTTTTTCGAATACATTCTCGCTGACGGTCAAATTGAGATTTTTTTATGTACCTATAAGGTCTGTTCTGGTTTTGAGAAATAACGATCCACAACTGTCGGGCTCATGCGCAGTAGATAAAAAGTGTTCTGGTTTTTCTGGGACTACTTCGGATCTCTCAGTCCAGTGTTCTGGTTTCGTATCCGAAATAATCCGTGATTGTTGTAAACAGTCAAAAAGTGTTCATGCTTGGGAGTGTGGATCGACTCGGACTGTTTTGACCGCGCATGCGTTTTTGAAGTGTTATGAATATTGTATTGGCTTTTTAGACCATACGAAACGTATACAATCCCAAATTGTTTATTTATATGTGGACGAATGTCTCTTGTTCTTGTTTTATTTGTAAATTAAAGCAATTTTAGAATTATTAATTTTTTAATATTCTGTTTTTATTTATTCCATTGAAATGTGATGATAATGATAAACATATACATGCAAATATTATTTGAAGCTGAGCTTTCAAAAGGAACTTCATTATTATAATAAACAATAAACAAAACACCTTTATGACGTGTTCTGGTTTTCCAAGAATTTCAAACAGTCGGGGATTTTTTGCCTTTACGCATACGGTCCGGCGCAGTTTCAAAACAGTTTTCATTTTGAGAACCAGAACAAACCTATAGTGTCTCCTCCGGACTCGCATCGACAAAGTCTTGTAAAATATCACAAAAAGAGTTCATCTCCGATTTGAGTTTGTCCGATATCCTTTGGACGTGGTCCTTGCCTTTCGGTTCGGGATGCTTTCGTTTGCCCTTTTTTGCCTGCAACGGTTTTATTAATTCGCTACAGAAGGCGCATGCAACCGACGATACACTCAATACCTGAAAAAAATGGACAAATAAAGAGAAATTATATTTTTAATTTTTTGCTATTATTAAAATTAACAGAGTTGGTTAGAAATTAAGGGAATTATATTATCGCAAGCTGAAAATTTAATGAATTTTCAGTTTCTTTTCATTTATACTCAGAAAAATATAAACTTTCTTTTCAGAAAAAATATTTTTTTTTAATTTTTATTAAATAGTATTTTGTGCAACAATAGTTGATATAATGAAAATCCACTCTTGTTGTACAGTATATTTTTTCTACGACCAACTAACGAAAATCTACTAATTTAAAAAATTATTTTAGGTCATTAAGACAAAATAACTAATTTTAATAATTTCTAAAATAAAAATGTTAATTTAGTTAATCCCCAGCCAGAATTCGATACCGGACTTTTCGCGTGGAACGCAGAAGCTCTGTCCACAGCTACACGGCCGATTTTACAATTATAGTTTTCAATACTTGTAATTAAATTAGTTTTATATAGTTTGATTAATTTTTTTTTTTCAAAATGTGGACCAAATGAAAAAAATATTTATCGATTCTAAACACAAATAGCTCATTTTAATGTATATTTAATATCAATAATTAAAAAATATACTGACAATTAGTTTGACAGAATTGTCACTTATTTAAAATTTTAAAAATAATAGCAGTTGGTTCAAAATATTAACTGTGATTGGTGGATTTCATTTTTTGCAGTGTACTCACTACCTAGAATGGATATAAACTATATTCGTTTTATAGTCTGTGCGTAGATATCCATGTGGGTGTAGAAAAAAGTTAAAATAATTATTTTAATGAATATGACCCCCGTTTTCGATGGAGTTCCCACCCCACTTATTTTTATTAATTTTCGATAATTTTGAGGAATAAAAAGATTATTTTAGCCTTTAAACTTCTTCTGGGGACTAGAAACGTGAAAATTTCTAAAACATGAACATTTGTATTAAGGAGGTAGGTTTGGAAGGGCTCTGACCTCTTAAATTGAAAAAAACAATATTTAAAATTATCTGCTTTCCGTTTTTTTTTTTCACAATTTTTACACATTTTCTACATATTCCAGCTTTCAACCACCCTCATTCGCCCTCAAAATGGTCGGTCTTTTTACCTTCAGATAAAGTTCCAGTTAACCAACTAATGGATATATTATCCGAGAGTTACTATCTGATAGTGATGGGTCACTTGGAAAAGTTCACGAACAAGTCCGACAAGTAGAAAAGTGTATTGCGCATGCACGAAATTAAATTATCTAATTTGTATGAATTTCTTACAAATGCAAAATATAATTTAAAAACGAAGAAACGACAAATGATTACTTACTTTTATATATTTTAACTATGAAGACTAGAGATAAGGAGGCGAATAGGCATACTCGAAATACGGCCCCAAAAAACGAACGCTAATTGAGGTTTCACAATTCACCGCATGGGCGCTGGTGTTGCTAGCGCTGTTAAAAATGCATGGCTTCTTAGGGAAATTTTACATAATTTTGTGAAAATAATAAAAATAGACTTGTTTATTGCTAAATAAAGCAGAAGATACTTTTGTATTTATTTCTAAATAATTCTTGCATGTTTTAATCGATAAATTATTTAATTTTATTTATACAGGGTGTTTCATTGGGATTATAATTTAACCCTATCTAGAGGTCACCCAGGGGATCACAAAAGACTCATATGGTATGGGTCTTACCGACCTTTATAACAAAGTTTTTTTAATTTGGTCTATTTCTTCCGTGCTTCATAACTTTTAAATCACTCAGTATTTTTTTGATATTTGGCCTAGATAATCTACACCTATAGGACAATTTATTGACACAATAAAAAATTTCAAAATCCAGGTCCGGCTTAACAAAAATTATTAAAATTTGACCCACCCTATACAAAAAATTCTTAAAAATTGAATTTTAAATTTGGAAAGAGCATAAAAAACTGAATATATTTAGGTATCAACCTTTTATTTTTCCGCATGCCGTGAATGTGAATCATTTAAATTTTCTTAAGTACGGATCTGAAATTGTAATTTTTATTTGTTTTTTTGAATGTTACTTCAAATTCAATAATTTTATTTCAAAAATTTTCATGAAAAAGTTAAGTAAAATTAATTTTAATGAAGAAAAAAAGACATTTTTCGCAAAATATACATACCTCAACACAATTGACAGCGACCTCCATCGATTTCCGCTTATCAAAAAAGTCGTTCGGTTTTTTCAAAGTATTCTCTTTGAGTACGTCAGTTAATTTGGTAAGCTCGTCTTCGATACATTTTGTACATCTCTCTATTACATCGTTATCATCACTGGTCAGACTTAGGAAGAATTCGAAAAACGAATTGAATACGCTGAAATAGTGGACCACCAGGGCCCCGTGCAACCTAGAAGGCAAAAGACCCTAAAAAATAAACATTAATATAACAAAACATTCATGAAAATAATCTAGGAAAAAAAACTAACTGGTTTACTAATCATAAATTGCAGAATAAAATTATTTACTATCTGTATCCCAGATAGCACACGACGTCTGAAAGACGTCATTTTTGTGTCTTGGTTTGGTCTATAAGACGTCTTATACGACGTCTTACAAACGTCTTTCAGTCGGACGGAAACTTGCACGGTTTACATAATTCAAATTTAACAAGAAGAATCTAATGAAGTGAAGTTTGACGTTTGACTTAACATTACATTCAAGCCGGACTTCCGATTCGGACACCGTCGTGGCAACATTGAAATGGCGGTCTCCGAATCGGGAACCAAGAAGTCCCATACAAATCACAAAATATCTAGTATAAAATAAGTGACCATCTGACTTTAAAAAGTATAGAAAATTAAACAAAACATTCAGTGTAATATTTGGAGAAGAATATTGAAATCAAATATCAAGTGCAGTGGAAAAGTGAAAAGATTGAGCCCATATAAAACGAAGAAAAGAAGAAGTACATTCAAACCCAAGTCAAAAATTTGTATGGCCCAAGCTCATCGTGGATTATTGATTATGTTCTTGCGTACACGATTATAGCCACCAAAAGCGACTTTGGGCTATTTTGAGCATTTGTGTTTCTTTCTACTTAAATAATATGGGACAAAAACCAGAGAGGGAAGAATAGTTTCTGTTACCGATGTAGCACGTTCCTGGAATACAGGTAATAAATGAATATTTGTTTATATACATAGAACATTAATATCCTGTTTCTTCTAAGAGTAATTAAATTAATTTGAAAGTAAACATTACAATATTGTAACGAATTTAAAAAATTATTTTCATCTCATTAAATATTATCTAAGCACTTTAAAACTGACCGGAAGCATATTTTTGATTTTAACCCTCTCCTCTTAGAATTAGGTATAAATACAATATCTAGATAAAATAAATATTTTTATAAACATGTAGGTATAATATGAATAAACGATTCCATATCATATTTTTCGCACTAATGTAAACATTTTCCTCAATAATAAATACGAGGCAGTCTAATTTTTATAATAAGTCTGGTGTTTACTTTCATTTTCGCTACTTCAAAAGCGATTGATTTTGTTTATAGAGACAAGATAATATCGTAGATTAAATAAATTATTGGAAATCCTATGGTGTTCTGGTTATACAATTTTATTGATATATGTATGTATTATACGAGTATAACAAAATTAACTGCCAACAAAAACTAAATTTTTTTTTCAAATTTAGTAATAAATTCACAAATTCCCATTACGAAATTACGACATTTTTCTTTAAACCTTAAAATTAGGAATATAATAAATTAAAAAAGTTAATTTCGAAAACCTACATTTTTTGTGCAGTGTTTTTGTTATTCCAGCAGGCAGACATTGAACGCCTGAATTGGAAGGGTCTAAATTGAACAAAATTTCTCTGGTTATTTTTTTAGTTCTTGTTTACGCGATCTATCGTTTTTAACTACAAATTATTTTGCTTATGTGGACGATACTACCCACCTATCCCCTATATTCAATATTGCGCCCTTTGGCTTTTGAATAAAAAAAAATTATGGGAATTCAAACATTTCGATTACATTAGAAAGGATTGCAATATAGAGCTCTGAAATAAACTCTTGCAATGTAATTATACTAGATATTTACAGAAATGTATCAGTTAATTGATTTATCACCTATCCGCATTATACGTGTCATTGCGCAATTGCGGACTTGTAACGAATACATAATAAAATTTTGTTTTAGAAAGCTTTTTGCTACCTCATTAACCTTATGGAAATATGCATGGCATGTAACAAGAATTATTCTGAAACAATAGCTCATATTTTGGACATTTCAAATAAACCACCTAATATAAATATTTTGAATGACATTTCAAATTTTTTCTGGTTTGTTTTCATCCCTCGTTGTTTCCTGAATTTCCTTCATTGTTTACATTTGTTTCGGGATTTTGAACCCACAAAAATCTCAGTTTATATTTGTATTGTGTTCCTATTTGATCAACCAGTTTTTGTTTGCTATTTATTTTACGTATACCTGCTTTCTTTTACCATTTTTTGTCTTCTTTTATAGTTTTTCAATTTGACCAAGTTTAGTTTACCTACAAAACTAGTCGACAATGATGATAAAAAAGTATGGCAATTCAGGCGGGAAATCATTCGCCTTTTTTATAGTTCCACATTATAGAGCTTTTTGTTATGAAATATTTGTTTTCTACTACCGTGCGTAAAGTACATACTTTACGCACTTCGTTGTAATTTTTTTCACTAGTGCGTAAAGTTAAAAAAACAGTGAAAAGTGAAAAACAGTAACTTTTATATTTCTAATATTAGTGGATAATGTGTACGGTAATAGATAAAAAAAATTGTATACAACTCGTGTGTAAAGTGCATTTTTTGACTCATGAACATTCACATTCGTCAAAAAGAGTAACTTTACAAAATTACAAGAAAGGTTTTGTACGATATATGGCAACATCACGCAATGATGGACTTTCCTAGGACATCACATATTTTTTTGCAGATATGAATACAAAAGGATTCTATGGAAAAATGATTGGCATCAGAATTCTAGATGCTGACAGCTAAGAATCCGAATGTTTGACAAGGATGACATAGGTCCAGAGGTAATACGGGCCTTTTACAAAGCAGGAAAACCCGGCAGACAAACGATAGTGGGAAGACTGTCGAGTTCAAACAAATTTATGGCAGTAAAATAAAATAGAAGAAAAGAAATCCCCTAAGATGTTCGGAAAGATGCGATCATGTTTATTTAACTTATTAGCTGGAGGAAGATCGATTAAGATATGAAAATATTTGGGCAACTTGGGAAAAACATACATAATATACACGAAATGTCAAATAGGTACCACTGGGCCATTCGCACCGCTTTTACTTAGCATCTAAGTGACACTTAAGAAGGCATAACCGTTTGCACCGTTATTAAAGTTCCACTTATCAAGGCGTTAAGAATCACTTTACTAAGCCCAGAAATTTTTCAGCTTAAACCATTACTTAACCTTAAAATGTTTAATTTTTATAATTTTGAGTGATGTTGACTGTCATTGTGTCATTGATTTATTAAAATTTGTAAAATTGCAATACACAAAATGGAAATAATGGAAGATGATGAGGCTTTGAAAATGCTTGATTTCATTAATATAAGATACCACGAAGAATATAAAATAATATATACAAAAAACGATTACTTTTACACTGCAATTAGAATTGGCCGAAGAAAATTCTTAATTGCCTTGATGAAATTAAAGCAAATTTATAGTATCCTTATAATAAATATGTAGGTTTCAAACTCAAATATTTTTACAGACAACACAATTATAACCATTTTTATAAAAAGTGTTTTTTTGTGAATCTTTTTTGTAAAATTAGCATCTTTCAACGTTAGTATGATTTCTATAATTTTTTTAGTATTAACTAATTGAATTAATACTAATTTTACTCTCATTATGGCTGTACTTCGTGCTCTATTTTATTACTTCTTAGTTCATCTATTTTTTTTTTAATAGTCCTGTGACACAGGAGAGAGTTTTTTCCAGTGAACTGTATACTTAAAATGGAACGCCAATCCCTATTAACAAAAGTAAGCCAAATTGAATTCGCGCATTACGTCCCAACGATACTGGCGAGAATGCGCACAAAGTGCCTTTGCAGGTCCGTTTCGGCCATTTCATGTACTATTTTTTAAATCAAGAGAAATTAATATCTTTAAAACTCAACAATAAGAAAATCCATTTTAATCTTTAGTTATATTTCTTACCACTTGTTTTACCGTATGTAGATGTCAAAAAATAGGAATTAGGAGGAGTTACTTATTTTTAAAACTATGTAATAAAGTATAGATATTTTATCATTGCTTACTCTAAGAATAACAAAAGTAATATTTGCTTTAAAAATCATTTTTAATGGATAAACCCATATATAAATTTGTTAAAACTTACCTTTGGATAGTCTGTAGGCTTTTCCAAAAAGGATCGAATGGAGACTGTTAAGCTCATAGAAACAATAGATTTCTTTACACAAATATATCAAAGGGAAGCATAAGAATGTTTAAAGTGACTAAGCCTAAATACCTTTACTAGCGGCATTAATTTTATTGAGATATATTTACATTTAAATAAAACACTAAGATAAAGTAACTGTAGCTTTATTAGTAAAGTATAGTAACATTAAAATTTTCCATAAAAACGACCCCATCTCAAGCAAAATTTTCAGTGATAGGTATAGGTTTTATTTTTGCTTTAATGAATTAACAGAATTCTTTATCGTTAGTAACAATTTTATAGATGAGAAATATGTCTTTCACATTTGTAATGTTATTTACAAAAATAAGATATTTATAAATGTTTCGGCCGAATCAAAAATTTGCGGTGGCAGCCAAGCAACTTGGTGGGTAATATTACAATAGACAGATAATTTATTTCAGGTAGACATTTTTTACAATGTACATGATTCGTCAAAAATAAAACAATAATATAAACTAGTAATTACAAACAATATTTAAAATTCAAAAAATTTTCTACATAATGAAAATATATATACAGATTCGGAATAAATTTTTCATGTGCACAGCGCAAAAGTATTAGGAGTAACAAAAAGAGGAATATTCATATGAAACGAGAATGAGTGTGAAAGCAGATATAGGTGTGGCTATCACATGACGTATTTCCAATCATTTCGACAGTGGGATATAGGTGCGCTCCCTTATTATAAAGCTATCGCAGTACCTGCTGTTAAAGGCGCTGCACATGAAACATTTATTCCGAATCCGTTTATATATTAAACTTTTTGAGCTTAAGTATTCTTAAATAAAATGTTTTACAGTTTTTTATGAAGTACGGAAGTTTACTGTTAATCTAGCAACTGACATAATATGACTAGTTACAAAATTATGAAATCTATAATTTGCTTAAATTTATTTGAGTTCTTAAAAACTAAATTTCTAGGACATATACCAAAGCTAGAGGCAAAATACTGTCTACAAATCGTGGTTGACAAGAATCATATTCAGGAACTTTACCTATTATTATTAGGATCCTCCTTTAAAAAAAATAATTTTGTAACCAGTTACAGTATTTGAGGTATAGATTTTAGATTTTTAATTAATTGTTTATTAATATAGATATATTTCAAATTAATTTGTTATTAAGTATTAGGTATTATTTAGAATTTTATTATTATTGAATGACTATGACAGGTATTCTATATTATTGTCTTGTTTTAATGGCTCTGATCCATAAATATATTATCGATATCTACATATAATTTTGTAGTTAGGTATACATATAAAAAAAAAGTATAATTTAATAAATATATATTTGTCATAGCTTAATTACCTTGGAAGATTAGTAGGTAACATCAATGGCTTACGAGGTCCTAAATTAATAGAACAGAAGTAAAAGTTGGAAATGCTTTTGCCAGTTCTCCCACTTTATACACATAAATTGACAGGTTGGCACCGGATCTCACGGAACTGGACGCGATACATTGGCGTACAAAATTATTTTATAGATTTTAATAACAATTTCGAGTAAATAGTTTAATAAATTGTGAATAGCTGTTGAAATTTTGTAAAATTATAATTTGAATATTATAATACATGTTTAATAATTATTTATAATCCATAAGTACATGCGATTGTCCGGTTCCGCCGACAACAATTTAAAATTACTTATTCTATGAAACGACACTGGCAGGTAAACATTACTGTGAAATTCTCGGAGCCGCCCGACGTGGTTTGACGTTTACCCCCTCTCTACCTACCAAAAGACTTTTCAACTTTTACTTTCTCTATAGCTGGCACAGCATGTTTTTTTAAACGCTTCCTAGTTCCTCCTAGAATGAAGTCACTTTCTACGAAATGTGCACTACAAACGGCATTTACAGAAGTCAACGTTTCAGCCTTGGGATCTCTTCCTAAAGCCCTCATCCAAGCTGAATACCTATCAGAAGTTAATCTAAAAAAAACACATGATAACTACATAATTTTTGGTTCTAGGTGCTTCAAAAGGGAAGAATTAGTTGACAATTTGGCTCAGATAGCTAAAATATAACACCCGTACCCCCGAACCACGTATTTCTATCCTTTTAAGTATAAAAAAGGGGGTCAAAAACACATGGTTACCCCCTAGTTTGAATAAAAAATAACTAGTCATCCTTACCTGAAAAATGGAGGCGCCTGACTCTTACACCACAAAACCATACACTTTTTCGTCATTTTAACAAGAGTCTGATTAAATCTGATTACTATTAGGTCTATTAGGTACAGTGTATCAACCAAAAGCAGGCACTTAACTGTTCTAAAGCTAATTTCAACACAAAAAGAACAAAGCACTAAACAAAAAGTAGCGATTAAATATAAATAAACCACACAATTAAATTGAAATTAAAAACTATAAGAAGTAAAGACAGATCATCTAAAAACGTCAAAGATCAAAACGATCAAAACCAAACAAAACGAATAACTGTAATAACCTTAAAATCACACTCAAAATTGCAAAAACCAGCTCTGTAAAATCATGAGATCACATCAATAATGCGCATGCGCCGGAGTATCGTAAATGTTAAAAGTACAGTGTTTTCATGAAAATTTCACTACGTTTTTAGCAGCGTTAGAGAACTATTTCTACCACGCGCATCCAACGACATTGGCGTTCCATTTAAATATACAGTTCAGTGGTTTTTTCTCTTCTGCGCCTGTGACAATCATAACTTTTGCTGCGTTCAGTGAGACATAACAATCCCAACCGATACCAATTCGCTTTCGTTCTACGATACGTATTGCTTTATATCGATCCGTATCATTTGGGAGCGTTTCATTTTTGCGCTAGTTTCTGCTTCTATCAAGAAAGATGAGCGGGAAACCTCTTAAAATCAACCTAAAACGCCTAAAACCAATCGCTATTTACGATTGCTAGAAGAACAACCTGGTTGTGCATTCATTAATGTGATAAAAATAATAAAAAAAATACTTAAATTATTGTAAATTGTTGATGAAAACTCCAAGTGGTAAATAAACAAATTCACTTTCAATTGCAAATGCTACGTTTCATTAAATTAGAATTATCGTTCGACACAAATTTAATTTTTGTAAATTGAGCGTACCGTTCAGTAAGCTGATCCCGCTACCCCAATCACAGCAAGAATCCTATACACTCATTGAACGCAGCTTTCATTAAACATTCAAAATAAAATTCAAATTTGACATTATTTCTTCTTTTTCTAGAAAAATCTTGACGTTGCCAAATCAATCCGACACTTAATTAATCGTTGCTTTCTAATAGGCTGGTGCGAATTAAACTACGATAAGTAATACTTAAATAATAAGTTTCACTTTACTAAGGGGAAATTTATTCTGAAGCGGTGCGAATGGCCCAACGTGTCTTAATAAAGATAAGAAATTGTTCCTTAACTATCAGAATCACTTGTAACTGTTTACCAAATAAAAATATTTTCATTTGATTCTTAAGCTGTATTATTTTGTCGTTGCATATTTGTTACCTATTAGACGTCAACTCTGTTAGGCCTATGTAACGTTGTAAAGAATATTGTACCAAGAGATTTTTCAACTCTCCGGTCTAGCTCAGATAAACGTACTAAAGTAATTTGCTAAAAAAGTATCCTCGAAAAGTACTATGAACATCTAATCTGAATTCAGAACGTTTATGTTTACGTCAATTGTCATGGTATTGATGGTTGTTTTTTAACTAGAATTTATTTTATAAATAATTTTTATACATTTGAGTAGAATTGGTAAGGACCCTCTATAAAATAGAAAACTATTTTCTAAAGCATTTTCTTCGTTTCAGATTACAATGCCTGGGTGTACTTTAATATTTCATTTATTAGGTACCTACCCAATACATAATGGTTTAACTACTATAAAAACAAAGAATGGTGTAGATAAACGTCGTTATAAACGAGAAGATAAACAATTAACCGAATGTCCAGTTACATTTTACTTATAAATACTTATAAAAGAGTTATAATATACCTAATCGAACTAAAAATACATTTTAAAAATATTGTATTTTAGGTTTCCTTTGAACCTAATGACATTCTAGGAATTTTAGAAGCAAAAGTAAATACTACAGACTTGTCTAAAGAAGAATATATAACGCCTGAAATTTTATAAAAAGTGAATCTACAACTAGGTACATGGCACATCTATATTGAAAGAAAAAATCAGATTCAAGCAGTTCATTATCATCAACAAGCTTGTTGTGCCTGGAACTCTAATGAGCAGTTCAAGTACAAACCTAGAAGAAAAGTTTAAAGAAATCACAGAAGATGCATCACAGAAGATACATCAGAATATCTTGCTAAAAAAACATAAGTTGTTTTTTATAAAATATGCATACCTACCTAACTTGGAAATCCATAATCAAGCATAAAATTTGTACTATTAAGCTAAGTTTGTCTAATCGTTCAGTGCTTTATAGGTGGCTTCTATTATCGCACTTGTGTAACTCCGTTTATGATATACCTACCTCTACTTTTGTGATATTTCTATTCGATTTCAAGAGCATTTTAATAATAAATTTATATATTTTGTTTTATTTGAAATTTCCATGTCTCGATTGAGATTTTACTATAACCTCAATTTCATCCTCTCTTTATTACATTACACAAAGAACAATATAGTGTGTCCACGGATGAACTTAATTATACTTGTAAAAATATTTATTTTAAATTAAAAAAAAGTTATTTTTCATAATTTTTCAATGTGAATCGAATTTATTTAACAAGTAAAAGAAATTATGAAGAATTACTTTTTTAATTTAAAATTAATATTTTCACAAGTATAGTTAAGTCCATCCGTGGACACACTGCTGTAGAACTAATTCACATTATGACATCCATAGAAAGTTTCAGAGTAACTTTCAGAGTAAATACCTTAAAAGTGCTACTGTGATGTTTTCCGAACTTCACTGTAACCTCTGTGAGATGAGCTATAAAAGTTGCCGTTGCGGACATTCGGTGGTTACAGGAATATTAGGGTTACATTAAAAGTACATCGCATGCGAGCTTAAAGAACTTACAATTGCAGCTTATTAACGTATATGGGATGTTTTTGTACTAGCTGGGGACGTTAATTAAATTTTGGGGTAGAATTTAACAAACAAAAAAGATTAAAAAGAAAATCAAATTAATGTTTGTGGACGCCACGTATTTAGCTGGTTAATAAACACGAATTATACCATGACATTGCCAGTTAAAAGTAAGAAATAATAAACAATAGTAATAAAATTTAAAAATATATATAATGGCTGTAAAATTACTCTTGAGTGACCATTTGTAGTACTTTAACATAAACAAAAAGAAAGGAAATTTAATGAGAAGATAATTTTAACTGACAATTAGATGTTTTTAAAATGTTCGAATGAAGACTGACACTTCCTTTAGTTTTTTGCTCTACAATTTTCCAGGAAGGACTTATGAGACTGCTGGCCAGGTCTAGAGACAGCTCCTCTGCACGTAGGACACTCGGTACGCTGGTGAGGTTCGCATATTCTAAGCCTCTGACTACTTTAAGCTCCTCTGGTCTCTTTTAATTCCTTTTACGACACGTATCTATACTTGGATAGTTTCAACAGAAAGATAACTTTCTCTTAATCACACAGTCCAATATCGGCAAGTACTCGACACACTTCGATATTCCTCGTACAACGCAGGACATTCTCTCGATACTTCAATATGAGCGTTTACTCCCCCTAGATACTCGCTAGAGTACAAAACACGCATGATTATTTCACTACAGACAAAAATACAGGATCGGCCTGAGAAATATTGTCGAAAGTGAACCATTTGTAATATGACAAAGGAACGTTTAATATAACGTTACATATTGTTCCATGTACGGCACAAAGCAGTTTTCTTATAAAAATCAAGTCATTTTTACAAAGATATATTTTTTAATATTTTTATGTTAAAATTTGATTCGAGTTTTCTTCTAACTAATTTTTTCAATAATGCTGCAAAGATGCTGGATAAAAGGAAAATAAAACTACCCAACAATTAACATTAACTATTTTCTCGTTGTACATCCAATTCATAAAACACAGTATAACTTTTAATGTATAAGTAAGAAAAGCTAAAAGACCAAATCATCTTTTAATACATTAGAATATGAAATCGACAGTATGGGACCTAATGGGTTAAAATGGGTGCAGTTCGTTGAACGATGGCATTAAATCCGCTGTGTGGATCGGCAGCATAGTCTACGGTTCTTCTAGAACCATCTGGATCTGTCAAACTGTATTGGCCTCGTACGACGTCACCGGTTCTGGTTTCGTGTTGGCTTTTTGAATCACCTAGAAGAATATCCCAATTATATTAAATTAATCTTTTTTGCTAAAATTAATGAAACATTTTTCTTGGAATCGACAATATTTTATATTTAACCACAAAAAGCAAACTACATTGTTATTAAGATTAAGACTTTATTACATTAGTTAAACTGCATATTCAATTTTTAGTATAACTTTTTGTCCCCGTTAAAATAATATTTTAACAAGAGTCATTTTTAATTTAGGAAAAGGCAATTCATTTTTTTGACCAACCCTGTATTAATAAATAAAGTATAATGGCAAACAATTTATTTTTAAATCCAGGATGTCTATGGAAATGTCCATTTAATATTAATATTTTTTTAGGTCATGTGTGGGTCATGTGCTTTGACATTTTTATTATTTGAAGCAGCGTTGTCAAGTTGTCTTACATGAAAAATGTTTAAACTAGAAACATTATTTTTAATCAGTCCAATATAAACATTAATGTCATTAGATTGTTTGTAAAAATCATCACCTGATATTTTAAATGTAACTTTCTCCTGTTAAATGATCAATTTTTGCTCAATTTCGAATATAAAGTATGAATACCAATGAAAAATTATTTGGGATTTTGTTATTGTTATAACAATGTTTGTACCTAAACAAAAAGCCTGCCAAAGTTACGTAGATCGTTTCTAAGAAAATAAGTATTGTCTTGCGAAACCGACCTTGTTATTTATTTACGATTACGCGACATAGATTCTGGCGTTGTCAATCGCTGCCGTCCACCTCGAAGACTGGAGACATTGATGCTGCAATTTTGGCTCTTTATAGACTGTTAAATTTTTATATAAATAGTGCGACTTTGTCGATAGAAGTTAAGTTTGAATATAAATGTGGTCTAGTAAAGATAAATTGTACAAATAAATTAGAAGTGTGATTTATAATAGTGCTTAAGTATTATAAATAAATTAGTTATATTATGTAATGTAAATAAACAAACAAACTGTTTTAAATAAATAAACTATTTTTAAATGAAACAATCGTTACAATATAATTTTTTAAAGTTGCATAACTCTGTTATCCTGCCAAAGGATCAAAGAGCACCGATACACTATCCACTATCGATTCGGGAAAATCTCCGTACACGGCCTTCAAAAGAAAGAGGAAGTAAAGAAACCGGGAGAACACACAGAAGCAACTCCCAGAACTTGCAAAGATAAGAATGATGTAAGGGGTACAGAGAGTCTTAACCTCTCAACTCTTTACGTAAACTCATCTGAGGATGTAGAAATATATGAAGAAGTAGAAAGGGGGATATGGAACTCACTCTCACCCATGGGGACGACACTCTTATTGATGGAGAGTAAAATGGCGAGCATTGATATCACCCAAGTAAAATGTCCATGACGCCAAGGGAACATCGGCTGTGATCTTAAAGACATTCACTACAGAACAATTAGGATTCGTACTGATCCAGGAACCAGGCCTACGAAAACCAAGTAAGAGGACTTGCATGTAAAGATGCAAGAGTAATTTATCGCACTAGTGATGAATTACCTCATGGTAAGAAATAATATTAAATATTTTTGTCTTTCGGAATTCATTATTCGAATTGGAAATCAATACCTCGAATTTATGATGAGGCGACAACAACTAGTATTAGCTTCCAGCTACTTCGCAGGAGATGGAGCTGTACTACCCCCGGAAGTATCGAGGCTGGTGGAGTACTGCCAAAGAAATATGCCATTACTTCTTGAATGCGACGCCAATGCGCACAATACCGTATGAAGAAGCAACGACACTAATTAAAGAGGTGAGCAACTTCTAGAATGTATTTGAAATAAGAACTCTATTGTGCAAACATTTGTTAACAAAGAGATGAAGTGATGTATTAGATATCACATTAAGTGGATCGAGCAATAAAGTTCTAGTTAAAAACTGAAGAGTATCGAGTGAACCATCTCTCTCTGATCACAAGATAATTGTATTTAAGAGAGCGACACTCATGATCCCCAGGAGGAATCCTTGAAATACACTGGGCCAAATACAACACCATTCTAAAACAAAATTTACGACGTATCAAGCCTAAAAAGGGGCCCAGGTACCCACTTGCTCTGGAAAGCGATCTCGAAGAACTAAATGAGGCAATACTTGAGGCATATGAAGCAAGCTGTCCCATTCAAACTCATAGAACTAGTAGGGATGATCCTTGGTGAAACCGTCATCTGCCAAACTTACGATCCGAAGTACAGAAGCTCTATAGTATTGCGAAGCACAGCTGAGATTGGCAGAGCTACACTGAGGCACTTACCACCTACAACAAAAAAATCAGGAAAGCTTAACCTAACAGCTTCAGGACATTTAATTATAGAGAATGTATCAAAAAAGACACGATATAGAATAATCAGGAACGGAGTAATCAGACGAAAGACCGAAGATACTTGGAATATGTCCCAGGATGAAATGAGAAAGAAGTACAGTTTTGTGAAAAACTTCAAAACCACAGAGCTGGGTTGCAAGAAAGAATGGAGCAAAGAATCCATCGCGCTTGAAACCGAAATACATACTATTCAGTAATATATGGATAGTTTCAAAACCATAGAAGGAACTGGAATAGTAGTGTATGGGCCTAGAACCAGGCACTCTGAAAGTTCGAGAAAATAAACAAGCATCTTTCAGGCAGAAATTCACGCCATTGAGAAGTTTATCCAGATTAACATCGAGATAAATTATCGTTGACAAGAGTACTGTACATAGGAGCACATCAAATAGAAGAGGGAGATTAACATAATCTAAAGCCACTTCAAATTCTACACTTCCTTGAGAAAATAGGATTGGACGGGTCCTTGCAGGTATCAAGACATTTTCTTGCTACATTAGCGACACAGGGGGACACAATAGATCTTTTAGGTCGCAGTGTATTAACACCCCATTCCCAACATAACATGGATTTGACAGGATCAATGATATCGATAGTTGTATGGATTGATCATTTTCAAAATAAAGATAAGCTTATGCTTTGAAGTAAAAAATAATTTTTTACTCTATTCAGTGACTAAAAATTGGTTTTAAAACACATTTTTGTCAAACCGATTCTTTTCAAGCAATCTATATGTAAAACTATAATATTATTGATCCCCACATGCAGCAATTTTGACAGGTCGTTGAAATGCGTGTGTTGTGATATGGCAACCCTGTGGTCCTTTTGGTTTTGACAGGTTCAATAATATATGTATACTTATATAGATTGCTCAAAGCGGGTCCCTTTGCGAGAGGCCCTATTGCCTCGCAAGAGCTCATTAATAAGAATCGGTTTAGCAAAATGTGTTTTAAAACCAATTTTAAGCCTCTGATTATAGTCAAAAAATAATTTCCTACATTTTTACTAAAAGGCGTAAGCTTCTGTTTATTTTGAAAAATATGAATGATCAATCTATATAATTATCTATATCATTGACCCTGTCAAATCACCTTACCAACAGATTTGACATATTTGCCACGCAGTGTTGTAAGTCTAGTACAATTGTACTAGATCTAGTACATTAGTTAAGAATCTGGTCATCTAGTACACTCGAAGCAAAATCTAGTACTTTTTCTTTTTTTTGGCCTTTGATTTGTAAAATATTGTTGGGTTCTTCCTTGTTTGTGTTCGTTCTTGTTAAACACTTCTTTTTTTCTTGCTCTTCAATGAACCAAACCATCACAATTCGAAAAATATGGAACAGTGTATACAATCTGGTACATTTTTATGGAATCTTGTACATTTTTCAGACAAATCTGATACATAACAAAAATATATTCTGGCAACACTGAACCCACGAGCAACCATTTTGTTTGGAATGCCTAATTGCAAAAGGTTGTAAAATATGTTACGCACATACTTTGATTTTCTTTTACTATACGGAGAATGGTCGCACTGCGCAGCTTTCTGAGTGCCTTTTAAAAGGAGATAGAAAACTCCGCCATTTTGAACCCTTATTACGTGTGGCCTACATCTTGGCGCAATATTTTTAATAGGTGCGTTTTAATCATCCGCTTCTGCTTCGGAATTGTCGGTTTTCTTGTTTTAATTTGACAAGTTAATACGACTAAACCGACAATTCCGGAAGCAGAAGCGGATGATTAAAACGCACCTGATATTTTGCTTGCGGCTGTCAGTGTCAGTGAATATTATTTTTTGACTCACAGATTATTGCTAAAGAATCAGTTAGCTCACTCGGACCAGTTGAAAGTTTCAAAATAAGATCCACTCCAGAGATACAAATTTAGGATACGCAGAAGACAGCTGTTTTATTATAGGCGGTTGTTATATATTGTATTATCCGAGTTGCGCAGTGTATAAACTGGAACATTGAGATCAAAAGTGCCGACGCAGAGTGAGCGATCTGATTCTTTAGCTATAAACTGTTGCATAGGGTTCAAAATGGCCGGGCCTTATGTTGGGCGTGTCGGACCTCTCTCTTGCGCCGTATAGTAAAGAAAATCAAAGTATGTGATGTTACGTCAAATCGTAATTATTTTATGTACGTATACAGGGTGTCCCATCACTTTTAAATGATCATAATTTTAAGTGTTTTTTCTAGAAAATTTTCAAATGAAACACTCTGACATGTTTACACTAGTTATATTGGTCTTCTGTTTCATACCACACCGTTCCTGATAACTCGTGATATAATTTAATGAATATCATTTTTGTGTTCGTAATAATGATCGTGTATTGCATGAGTTGATGCAACCACTTAACATAATGTACAATAATTTCATTCGTTCCATACAAGAGCAATTAATATATTCGACATGTTTTGTCGATTTATGATAAAAGTTATCCATTTTTATTTCAAAATAATATTTACTTAATAAAATGGATGTGTTACAGAGGGATTACTAAGTTAATGATTCTTTTTTAAATGTATCTATAGAGAAGTCATTAGAATAAAAAGTAGAAAAAGAACAAAAAAGGTCACAAAAAGAAATTTCAAATCCAAGTCATTCTTGATACCCACGATAAAAATGCAAGGTTCAAGATTGTTATTTCTTCTTTTTATTTTATTTTCATCTTTTATCAAATATTAATTTGTTTTATCCAGAATTTTTTTTTTTCGGTAACTCTGTATTTGCTTCAATTTCAAAATCTCATGTAACTTAACAGTGCTATCTTTTATTATTTTTTGTAATTTTCGTATTAATTATCTTCTTGTTTTTGTTTGTAAATATAAACTTTTTACTATTAATATTAATACCTGCCAACTAAATTGAAGATCAACTGTCAGTAAAATTGGGCAAAACTCATCTGGAATAGTATTTAAATCAATATTTTCCAAGTGTTTAGTTAAAACTAAGTTTCGATTATCTATATAACACTTACTAGGCAATGTATCTTAATTTGATTAGCACTCACTGTCTACAAATGAAACTTATGCGGCGGTTGCTGTTCATTTAAAGCTCGTGAAATTAATTCAAGATGATGATAATTATTATTAAATAACTAAGCACATTAACTGCATTAAACGTGCTAGTATTTAATATTTTTTCCATTTCAAAGTATCTTTGTAACCTTAAAGAAGTCAATAAATGAAATTTTAGTTCATACTGTACGGATTAAGTAAAATTAAAATATCTGAAAACATTACCAATACGTTAAATATTCCATTTACATAGATACTGTTGATCATTATTTAATTTCAATTTGCTTTATAGTTATAGTATGTTTTGTTCAATAGTTTTGAACTTTGGTATCATATTTATATAAATATGTATATTATTAATGTGAGAATCACGTTATTTTAATAAAAGTTTATATTCGATTTCTATATAAATACGAGTAATTTGTTCAACTTGGTATGTATACAGAATTTGTATTACCAATATGAATTTAAACAGTAAAACAGTAGCCCAGCTAAATAGTCGACTGCCTTACCGGATGGCTGTTTATAAGATTGATTTGGTTGAGCATCGAAACAGAGGGATATTGCAAATTTCTATAATGTCAGCCACTAATAGTGACAACGTAATTAGAGACAAATAAATTCCATGCTAACATAAGACTTATTGCAAACCAAGTTCTGACATTAGAGTCCTTGTGCCACCCTTGTGCTTATACATATTTATAACCTCATTTTAAAAATTTTAAATTACTGTTAATATTTTTTTTTGTCTATAATAGCACATAATATGGAAGAGACATTAGAAATTACCATCTTAGAAGGTTTAGACGACGATGTTATTAAATATTTAATATTAAAAAACTTCGAGTGCACCCAAAAGCTATAAAGTCGAGACTATCTGTTGCCCTTAAATATCCACAATTAAGGACAGGCACAATCATTAGTAAATTCATAACCTAAACGATCTGCGCATGCTCAGATGTCAAAATAAGAGCGGCGCTAATAGTGAATGACCTTAATTAAATGAACTTGCAATAACTTTCTATTAACCGTGTTACTGCTGATGTGTTTATTTTTCTGTCATCGATCGTCTAAAACTTTATACTCAGCGACCTACGGATTCATGGTAGATAAAAAATGTGAGATGAAAAACAGTCTCTGGTATCATAGCCTAGTTTCGCAGGCAAAAGGTTCAATATCCTGATGCAGGCAAAACATAAATGGTCCTCCGATCCGAAGAAACAATAATATCTCGTAACTTCCAACCAGTTATAAATCTTAAGCATTGACTATTGCGCTGCGCATGTCACCAATGAGAATAGTATGTAACCTCTCAGGGGCTAGCCGTTAGTGTCGTCAGCAAATGAGGACGGAATTTTAGTGATCACAATGCAGATACTTCTTTGAAGTTGTAGCTGAACTCAATGTAATTGTAACAAGTATGTTGATATGATTTTTTACGTCAAACATTTTAAAATTTTACTGGTTATAATGCAGAAGGTAATTGCTTCCAATATGATCTAGCGCCCCTGGATTGAAGGGTGTCGCATACACTGATCATTCAGCAACCACAGAACAATTAAAACAACCTTGTAGTATTTGTATTAATTACCAGTTTCAAACTATGATAATGATTCTGTACCAATCTATCATTTTATTCAATCTTACATGTTGTATGCAACTGCACTCTATTTTATTACAATTCATCACAGTTTATTTGTAATTTATAGTTTCCGCATTTACTGAATAGCGCTGGAAATAATAGAGAAGTGAACTTTGGTGTCGTATACAATGGTTGTTCAATAAGTTTAAGTCAAATCAAAGAGAGTCTTTATTTTAAAGTTCGGAATACTTCTAAAATTCGAATCGATACTTCATTAATTAGATTTTAGTTTTAGTTGAAAAAGTAAATCTAATTATCTAAAAAATAACGATCCTGCGATTAGACAATTCTTTATTCAAGTCAAAATGAAATTAAAAATTATTTTTCTACAGCTACGTATTTGCGTATACTTGATATACGGTTTGATTTCAAATTGATAGATTCTAATGACTAAAATATTGGTTTTTATCCACAGAAAATGAAAGTTCTTCCCAGATTAAAAATACTTGGACGTGAGCGATAAAGATAATAGTATTGTGCTCCTATACCGTTCTCCTGTATTCAAGATTAAAAAGTTAACATATTGTATCAGTTTACCTGTATGTGCGTCGTTAACTGTATACGCAAAGCTGTAATGAGGGTTGGGGTCATAAGGTTCTACTCGTTGCTGAACTACTGGCACATTCACTGTGGCTACTGCCGGATGTGATACCACGGCCGGTTGAACTACTGCATGAGTTACAGATGCTGGTATTGGATGTTGCTGTACATTAGAGTAGATTATGGGATTTGTCGCTGTAGAGATGGCGAGAAGAAGAGCGACACAAAAGGCTTCCTAAAAAAGTATTTATTTTAAAATCGGGATAAAAAATATATTAAAAATTGAACCAATTTATACGAGGTCTATTATTATGATATACAATTATTGTATTAAGAAGATAAACATTCTAAAATTCATAAACCTTTTATTAAACACATATTTGCTGAAAAAGGGAACAGATTCGTTATTATATCATAATAATTATTATTTATAAAACATAACCATGCAGTGCGAACATAAAATCAATCTTAGGATTCGTGAATGTCCCTCACGCCAAGGGAGCCTCGGCTGTGGACTGAAGGACATTCATTAAAGATCAATTAGAGATCGTACTGATCCAGGAACCGTGGAACCAGGTAAGAAGATGTAAGGGTAATTTAATCACACTAGTGATGAAGTACCCAGAACATGCATATTGGAAAGAAATAATTTTTGATATTCATGTCAGAATTCATGACGTTGTGATCTCGTCCCAATTCGAGAATACCTGAAATTAGGGATGAGGCGGCAAGACATAGTAATAGTTTCTAGTTATTTCATCAAAGATGGGCTTTTACCACTCCCGGAAGTATCGAGGCTAGTGAAGTACTGCCGGAAATACATCTGCCATTCAGGGTTGCCAACCGGTCTTTACCAATTTACTCTCAAAAACTTTTCCGGATTACTCACAATTACTCACAACTTGAAAATATCAATATTACTAGTTTTTTTTATATAAATCGTATATTTCATACTCTTGCACTTTGGTTTGAATTTATTTTACCACTGTGCAATGTTGCCAAACATTAAAAGAGAAATTTTCAGAACATACAAGAGTCAAAACAGATGCACCTTTTTTCTGTTCATTCATTATTTTAATAACCAAGTAATATACAGGTTAATTCATAACTATTGGGACATAGGCTAAGGCAGGTTATTTGGATAAAAATATGGCGATAGGACCAAATATACCTTAATAAAATATTGCTGTGGAATAAGATACAGGGGTCTATTCTGTAACAATTCCTTTATATTTAACGGCCTTTAAAAATATTTTCTTCTTTACCTTCTGTCATTATTTAAACGGATCTTTAAAATACATTAGAGGACTATCTTAAAGAAATCTGTTTAAATAATGACAGAAGTAAATTAACGAATACAAACATATTTTTAAAGGTCGCCAATATTTTTAGAGGCCGTTAAATATAAAGCAATTGTTACAGAATAGACCCCACAGGGTGTTAAATTTGAATACTGTTTTTTTGTTTTTTTCTGATGTCACTGTATATTTATGAATTGATATAAAAATTGGCACAAAGGCATATTTTTCGACAAGGAATAATATTTTATGTATTATTTCACATTTTGTTACAGGAGGCGCCACGTGAATGATTCCTGATGATGAAATTAAGTGGTAGCTTTTTTTACGAAACTTTTTAGTATTTTTGATTAGAAAATTTCACCCGTTTTCGAGAAAAACGCAATTGAACAACTCACAAAACATTTCATTTATGAAAAGTTTGCTTTGTTGTGTCAAATAATTTGCTGTTAGATTATAGTCTATTATTATTATTACTATTATTAATATTATTTAACGCCCTGTATCTTATTCCACAGCAATATTTTATTAAGGTATATATTTGGCCCTATCCCCATATTTTGATACAAATAACCTGCCCTTAGCCTATGTTCCAAATAGTTATGAACCACCCTGTATATAAAACATCTTTGTCATCAGCTGAACAAAAAACAGATCAAAAGGTTTGGAGAATCAGAGTAGCTTCTTTATTAACGGGCCAAATCATAATAAATCATTAAATAATTCTAATACTTAAAAAAAATCTACTAATAAAAATATATACTTTTAAAATGAACAAAAAAATATATTAATCGACGATTGGGACAGTCCCAATGGGACTATCCACTATCGACACGACACCTATAGTGTTGTAAAATATCAAAATTACTTTTACTCTTTTACATTGACCAAGCAATAGAGGACGTTGCAATTTTAAAACTATAAAATTGTAATGACTGCTAAAAGTGCTTGGGGGGGGGGGGGGGGGGGGGAAGGCTTATATTAAAATTTTAAAAAGAACACGGTTTTAATAAATTATCCGATCAGGATTTTGCCTAACTACCATGAATATACCCACGCTGACTTCCCGATTACTCACATATTACTCACAATTGCCCTTTACTCACAAAATTACTCACAGACTAGTAAATTACTCACAAATGTGAGGAATTACTCACAGATTGGCAACCCTGCTGCCATTACTTCTTGGATGCGACGCCAATGCGCACAGCACCGTATGGGGAGTATTGGGAATACTCCAACATTTGTACAAGGGCAAGAAGTGAGGTATTAGATATCACATTAAGTACACTGAGCATTAAAGATCTAGTTACAAACTGTAGAGTATCGAGTTAACCATCTCTATCTGATTACAAGATAATTGCGTTTACGTTAGAGAGCGACATTCCTGAGACGATCCTCAGGAGGAATCCTAGAAAAACAGACTGGGACAAATACAACACCATTCTTAGACAAAATTTAGCACGTATCCAGACAAAAAATGAATCAGGCACCCACTTGTTCTGGAAAGCGATCTCGAAGAACTAAATGGGGCAATACTTGAGGCATCTGAATTAAGCTACCCTATTCATAGAAATATAACTAATAGGAATGCTCCTTGGTGGAACCGTCATCTGTCAAACTTACGATCCGAAGTGTGGAAGCTCTAAAATAGGAGATTGACAGAGCTACACCGAGGCACTTACTATATACAACAAAAGTACAAAGACTAGCCTGTGTTTGCATCACCCGTGCAATGAGAACCTGCCCTACGGCCGCAATGGAGGTTATCTTAAACCTCGCCTCTCTACGTTTAATAATAGAGAATGTGATAAAAAGGACACGATATAGAATGATCAGAAACGAAGTAATCAGACAAAAGTATACTTGCTTCAGGATCAAAAATACCTGGGATATGCCTCAGGATGAAATTATAAAGAATTACAATTTTGTGAAAAACTTCAAAACCACCGAGCTGGACTGCAAGAAAGAATGGAACCAAGAATCCATCGCGCTTGCAACCGAAAGACATGCTATCGTGGTATACGGATGGTTCCAAAACCATAGAATGAACTGGAATAGGAGTGTATGGGCCTAGCACCAAGCACTCCGAAAGCTTGGGAGAATACTCAAGCATCTTCCAGGCGGAAATTCACGCCATCGAGAAGTATATCTAGTTTAACATCAAGAGAAACTATCGTAGACAAGAGATTATCATCATGTCCGATAGCCAAGCAGCCATCAAAGCGCTGAACTCTTACGTAATTAGCTCAAAGATGGTCTGGATATACCTAGAAAAATTGAATGAGTTAGGCGAGAAAAATAGAATTACTCTCACTTGAGTCCCGGGACATAACGGGGTGCAGGGTAACGAGATTACAGATAGTCTCGCAAGGAAAGGGACCCAAACACCCTTTGTGGGACCTGAGCCGTTCTGCGGTATCAGCAGTAATATACTATTAAGAGAGATTAAAAAAGAATTAGGCAATAGAAGAACCGATAATTGGAACAATCTCTTAGGGCCGAGACAGGCTAAGGATATTTCATAAACGAGGTAAAAGAGAATGGTATGTCATAAAAAAAAGCTGCACGAACATTTCAAGTGCCTCTAATGTCCCTTAAGCGCAGAGTTAAAAATAAAAACACAATTGCCAAAGAAAACATAAAACGTTTAGGCAGCAAAACTTTGACATTTACTGCAGATCAGGAAAATGAACTTATACGCCAAACTCTAGCCTTTGAAACCAGAATGTATGGGCTTACACAATTGATCTTCGGCGCTTGGCATTTCAGTTGGATGAAAAAAATAAAATTCCCTATTATTTTTCCCGTAAAAAACAGATGGCTGGATATGACTGGCTTTCAGGATTCCGAAAAAGGCACCCAGATATAACGTTAAGAGTTCCAGAAGCAACTTCAAAAGCCCACGCAAGGGGATTTAATAAAATTGTTGTTTCAAAGTTTTATGACCTCCTTAAAAGTGTTTTGCAGCAGCACAAGTTTCCTGCTCAAAGAGTTTTTAATGTCGACGAGACATAGGCAGAAACTAAAAAACTTTTGCAAAAAGAGGCCGAAAGTAAGTTGCTCGTGTAACATCAGCCGAAAGGGGAGTTTAAACAACTGCTGTAATTTGCGCTTCTGCTGGTGGGGCTTTTGTTCCTCCTATGCTAATTTTTAGTAGGAAAAGAATAAAAGTGGAACTGATGGATGGCGCTTATCGGTTAAATTGATTCCGGCTGGATGAAATTAGAAATGTTTGGCCAATGGTTTGAATTTTACGAAGCCAACTAAAGAAAATTCCGTTTTGCTAATTTTAGATAGACATTTGACCGACACGTCGTGACTAAGGCAGAAGAAAATAACGTTGTAATATTATGCTTGCCCCCCCATACAACACATAAGTTGCAACCGTTGGATGTAGGAATAATGTATCCATTAAGCACGTACATGGACCAGTCATTGGAAAAATGGATTACCAATAATCCGGGCCGAACAGTAACAACGTTCCAGATAAGCATAATCTTTTCAGAAGCCTACCTGAAAGCATGTGTACCGAATAATGCAATAAATTCTTTTAAAAAAACTGGTATTATGCCCTTTTATCCTGACACGTTTTCTGACGCTGATTTCCTAGCAGTCAAGAAAACTTAGAGAATAGTGAAGAAACCTCTGCAACCAACCCACTTCTACGTAGTTCTCCAATTCCTGGGCCAAGTACAAAACCGGATATCCCTCCAATTACAATTCATGTATCAGACCACTATGAAGTCGAAGTGAAAAGTTCCTTTACCGTAACCTTTGCTGATTGCAATACTCTTCCAAAAATTAAGGGAAAGAGCAGCTCTGTTGGTACCGTTTTGCTCACGAGTACCCCATACAAAATCGTGCTTAAACAGGAGAATAGGAAAAAAATTGAACTAAAGGGTAAGAAAAAAAGAAAAACAAGTCAAAATCAGAA